TGTAGGCAGAGGGAGCCAGAGCCATATGCCAGTTATCAGCTGCCTTCAGAGTCAGACATCAGTGAGGCAGACAAACAGCTGTAGTCTGTTCCTAATGTGTGCATGCGCAGAGTTGCCAGACGAAGGGAGCAGCTAAAGAACAGGGGACGACTTGGGAGCAAAGCCACAGGTGGATGATGAATGGCCCCTCCCAGAGGAAATAAAAGAGGAGCGAAAGGGGAGTGGAGTTTGCAGGAGACAATTAGTTCACTTAATTGGTTTGTGACTCTCCAAGACTCCTTGCCAAGTTCTGCAGAGATCGGCTTGGCAGCTCTCCAAGCCAGCTAAGGTCTGTGACTGTAAATCCTCCATGGAAAGACTTTGCTGGGTTCCTTGGTGCTCTCTGAGCTTGGTGGGGTTTTTTTGAAGACATTTCATGACCCAACTAGGTGACATCCTCAGTGCCAAAGAGGGCGCGGTTTATGGAATTGAGGAGGAGTCCTTGGTGTGCTCTCTGAGCTGGGTGGTTTTCTTGAAGAAATGATGATGATGTTACTTAGTTGAGTGAAAAACCACCAAGCTCAGAGAGTATGGAGGTCAAAGGGGCTGAAAGAGCTTGAAACTACCTAGGGCAGTGATGGTGAATCTTTTTGGTAGCGAGTGGCCAACCTGGAACGTGTGCAAATGTGAGCATGCGCGCTGGAGCACCAAAAATCTGAAGACCAGCTGGCCGGCCCACGCATGCCTGGTTTCTGGCTGGTTTTTGGCCCATTTTTCAGGCTGCTTTTCAGGCTAGTTTTGCCCTGACAAATGTCCGGAAAACAGCCGCAAAATGTCCTGAAAATGGTCTGTTTTGGCTGTCTTCCGGGGTGTTTTCAGGCACCTGTGAAGACCAGCTGGTCAGCGTGGATGTCAGAAACCAGAGAACAGCTGGCGACGGTGCCCATGCCCACAGAGAGGGATTTGTGTGCCATCTCAGGCAGGCGTGCCATAGGTTTGCCATCACAGATCGAGGGCCTTAAACAATAGAGCCGATTCCCATATGAGAAGAGGAGATTAATCAACTTATACGCAAGGTGTTTGGCTTGATTAATCTACTGAATGATGAAGCTTGAACCCACAGCACACGATAGAGGGAGAGAAGAAGCCAAGGAGCCTTGTTTAAACATTCGGCTGAAATTCCCCGTATCTCACCGGATGTTTCTGCTTCTAGGAGATCATCAACTTCAACTGCAGGAAACTGGTGGCTTCCATGCCTCTGTTCGCCAACGCCGACCCCAATTTCGTCACGTCCATGCTGACCAAGTTGCGTTTCGAGGTCTTCCAGCCAGCGGACTACATCATCCGAGAGGGCACCATCGGGAAGAAGATGTACTTCATCCAACATGGGGTGGTGAGTGTGCTCACCAAAGGCAACAAGGAGACCAAACTGGCCGATGGGTCCTACTTTGGAGGTACAGGAATACATTTCCCTCTCTCGGTTATATAGCAAAAAATAAATCCCCAAGCTCCGAAAAGCGGTAGATTCCTTTTGTGTAGAGTTGATGATCTGGTCAATGAAATGTTTTATTGAATAATAGAATGACGGAAATAATAGAAAGAGGTTTGGGAGGGGACCTTGGAGGTCTTCTAGTCAAGTCTAGTTCTAACCCTCTACTCAAGCAGGATTTGCCACGGCAGACAAATGGTTGAACAATCTTCTTATAAAACCTCCAGGGATGGAGGACTTGGGACTTCTGGAGGCAAATTGCTCTAACTCTCAGGATATTTCTCCTTGGTTTCAGGTTGATTCTCTACTTAGTTAGTTCTTTCCTGCTTTCAGGTGCTTTGGGTGAATAAATCAATCCCCTCTTCTCTGGGGCAGCCCCTCAAATATTGGAAGGCTGCTGTTATGTCACCCCTTGCCTTTCTTTTCATTAAACTAAAAAAGGTAGAGGTGAAAGTTCCCTTTGCACATGTGTGCTAGTCGTTCCTGACTCTAGAGGCAGTGCTCATCTCCCTTTCAAAGCCAAAGAGCCAGCGCTGTCCGAAGACGTCTCCGTGGTCATGTGGCCGGTATGACTCAACACCGAAGGCACACGGAACGCTGTTCCTTTCCCACCAAAGCTGGTCCCTATTTTTCTACTTGCATTTTTTACCTGCTTTCGAACTGCTAGGTTGGCAGAAGCCGGGACAAGTCACGGGAGCTCACTCCGTTATGCAGCACTAGGGATTCGAACCGCTGAACTTCTGACCTTTCTGATAATC